TAAGATTTAAAAAATTTTCAAAATTAAAACTCTGGCTTCTTATATTAATGTGAAGGATTCTTATATGATCATAATTTTGGCATAAGTTTTCTTATGTAAAAAAACTCTTCTAATTCGCTAGGAGAATGATATGAGGAATCAGTAAATAAATCATGCTAGTAATATATGTCTGGGTCTATGTTTTCATCCGATGAGAAATAATTAGTTTCTGTAAAGTTTAATTTTGTTAATTTTAAAGTTAATTTTAGTTTAACATTCTGTAAATGTCGGAAATAAATGATTCAAAATCATTTATTTCCGACATTTTCCGAAATTCCGACACACAGCGTAAAATTAGCAAAAAAAAAATTTTTTTCATAATCCTTCGGGTCGGAGCTACGTCACAAATATCGGAAAATAAGTCTACCATTATGATTAGGGAAAACAAATAATTTTATCAAGTCGGGAATTTTGAGGAATTATTCATATACATGAATAATCCTCAAAGTTGCTGTGTTTTCTTGTTTCAAATATTAATATTTCACAGAGTTAAATTTTTTAGATACTTCTATATGAAGGTATTAGAAGTTAAAGGTAATAAATCGTGCGCATGTTGACAAATATGGAGTAGTTTAACTAATATCTTCATATGGAACATACTTCTTTAGTATGTAAAATTTCAACTCTGTAAATTGTTATTGTTACTGTTATTATTGTTATTATTAGTATACAGAAAACATTATATTTTGTGATAATTTTGATTTGATAATTACTAGTTATCAAATCAAATTTATAGTCTCCCAAAATAATCATTATATCTGTTCACAACAATATTTTCTGGTGGGTTTTAGTTTTAGTAATTTATCAAAATAGTAAATAAGGAATTTTTGTAATAATTTTTTTTTTTTATTATTAAAAAAATTCGTTAAGTAAAAATAACAGTAGTATAAGGTAAATAAAGTAATATGGACAAAAACAAATTTAAAAAACAAACATCTTCTTTTAAATATACGGGCTTGACAGATATATCATAATGCTAAAATAGTTACTTAACAAGTTAGGTTTATACAACATAGTTTAATGATTTAAATTTTATACTTTTTCCTCTACACACTAAACATTTATACACACTAGACATTTATACTCTAATACACTCCACAATTATACAACATAGTTTAATGATTGTTAAGTGTATATTTTTTTCACTACACATACTTTATAGTTTTTTGGTCACTAAATAAAAAAAATAAAGAAAAGAACAGATAAAATCTACATAAAAGTTATATAAAAAATATATGAACTATTATATATTGCTGTTAATAATAACAACAATATGTAACAGTTATATAACAGTATATCATAATAATATATTATTATGATATACTGTATTTAATTTGCTTTACTAAATTAAAGTTGTAATTATATTAAAACTATTTAAATACAAGGATTTTATGTTAAATTGTATAAAATTAGCAATTCCTTGATAATTTTAATTTATTTAGATTATAGTAAATATTCTTTTGAAATGTTGGTTTTTGTTTTTTATTTTAACTTTATTTTTTTTATAAATTAAAATCAATATATCACAAGAATTAATATTAAAATTGCATCAAATAATAATTTTTTCACCTAATAATTTTTAGCTTTAACAATAACGATGGAATTATAAAATGATTTCAATGCAAAAAATAAGTCGGAAGGTGAACCAACAGATTTTTTATGCTTCTAAAACTCATAAACTCCTCGAAACAACATTACACCTCTTAACTGCACAGTCTTTAATATCATCACTAACTCCAGTTACACAGTTAGAAAGAAAAGGTTTTTGTAAGGAAATGGATAGTTTAAAAGTAATATGTGAAAGACTAAAGTTAGAATTTGGAGATGAGAACATATGTGCTCTATTTACAGTTTAGATACTGAAAAAAATTTGTTAGTAATGATGGATTATTTAAGTGAAGATGAAAAAATTATTGTTACAAGTTAGCCTTAAATGATCAAATATATTGTTGACTTTGATAAAATTAAACTAAAACCTACTTTAAAATGCTTGCTTATATATGTAACATCAGTAAGTTAGCAATAAGCTATTTGGAAGTGGGTTGTTATTATGTATTTTAAACTAAAGTTTCCGATAAAAATGCAAGTCAGAACTGATATTTATAAATCATTAACACCTGTTTTCAAGACAAAGTTTCTTACACTAACATGCTTTGAAATCTTTATAGAATCTCATTAACAAGAGCAAATTGTTACAGTCAGTACAAGAAATATATTACAGCATATAGCCAAAAGTAATACTAAAAAAATCACATGTTAAAAATTTATTGGCTGGCCACTTATAGCGATTGCCTCTTAAGGTCCACTTAGTAACTGTTGAGCAAAATCCCATCAACAGTGAAACTATAAAGGTCCACTGCAAATTTACTACCTAAAACTTATTAGAAAGTTTTAAGATTTTAAAGTAAATCATTATGGTTATATTTTTGGAATAGTTACAGATAGGCTAGTAAGGAAAAAACAAGAAGATTCTATCAAATAGCTAATCATCTATGTCTTTTTCATGGAATTCTTTTTAATTTTATCATTGTAGGCTTAGTGTATCAATTGTAGATGCGTATTTTGAACCATAAAAAAGTGTAAACAAATAACTTGCTATAATTGGATACTTTTAAAAAAATAAGTCTTTTATAAAACATTTTACAATTAAAGTTTTATGTTTTATTTCATTTGTTACATTTTTATATATCTTATGTCTACACTTTTATGTCTTAAAACATTTTTATTTTAATCAGTTTATAAAAAATTTTATCAGTTAAAAAAAAATACATGAATTTTAAATAGAAAAAAATATATACAAACAGGAATAATAAAAGTAGTTTATAGGATGTTTTCTTTTTGTACTTTCAATTTTTATTTTTTGTTTTGGATTTAAAGTAGTTTATTTGTTTCATTTTATTTAAAATATTTTTTCATAATAAACTTAAAAAATAAAATTAACGGTTTTTTTTACAGGGTAAAATGTAATGTAACTTATAAATAAAACAGAATGTAACTTATAAATAAAACAGAAAATCATAAAACTTATTTAAAATAAATACTTTTGAATGATTAGCATTTGTAAATTAATTTGAATAAGTTTAAATTTGCAAAATTAGCTAAACAATCTTGCAAATTAGCTAAACAAATCTTGTTTTTACGGCGCTTTAACAGTTTGTTTTCCCTAATCCATAATGGTAGCTATAAAAATCCAATTTGTCACGTGACCTCCGACTCCAAGAATACTTAACTTAATTTTTTTTTTTTGTAAAACTTAAAAATTACTTGTTTCCTGCAAAAAACTGTGTCAAATTTTAAAACGGCATACTTACCTTCTTTTCGCAACTTTATAACTTCTTCCCACAGTTTTTTTCGAACTTGAATAGTTTCCTTTCCAAAGTCTTCGTTTAATGTAAATACCTGTTCCGCGTAGGTTTTTTTACTTGAGGAGAATATTTTGTTTAACGTTATAATTTAATAGTTTTAAATTAGTTATAAAATATCAAAAACAGCACCGTACTATTTTTTCTTTTTCTTTTCTGTGATATTTCGGTCTAATTTGTAAAGACCATCATCAGACGTAAAATACCAATTTAATAACCGTTACAAAATAAAAATCATCAAATAAGTTGTAAAACATCGAAACAGCATCGTACTAACTAATTTTTCTTTTTTGTGACATTTTTTTAAATTGTATTTTACGTCTGATGATGGTGTATTAGATCGAAGTATCACAAAAAAGAAAAACTAATTTGTACAATGCTGCTTTGATGTTTTATAACTTATTTTAACTTTACGTACTACAAGAAAAGTCGCTAAAACACTTAAAAATCATAAAGAAGTCATTACAAAGACAATAAGAATTGTTTTATAACGTCTTAATTTAGATTTGAATTGTAGAAATATTTTTTCTTTAATATTAACAATATGCTGAAAGTTTTTCCACAAAATTGGTCCCCGGTACTGAATAGAATAAGAATATAACTTTAGATTATATTTTTGAGTTACAAAGTTATTTTCTGAGAACTTGGTGGGGTATTTATAGCTTCTCTAAAATAAGGATAGAATATCGTTGGAGACAGTCCATGCTTTATTTGATACATGAACTGTATGACGAGGAGTATGTTGATTTTAAACACATTTAATGCATTGAGTTTACGTGGCTCATAAGGCACAGTTCTTTTTGCTCCAAATACAATTGTACAGCTGCGAAAATAAAATAGCACCACCCCCCAAAAATTGGTTGAAATTAGAATTTTTAACTATTTTTGATATTTTGAAAATTTTTTAAATACATATTTAAAAGTAAAATGGCTTTTAGTTTTTATAAAAAACAAAATATACAAGTTTTAATATATAGTATTCATTTATTAAACAAAAATTCAAAAAAAATCACATAAAACGCGAAAAAAATAATAACACCACAGCTTTAATGTGTACTTTAAAATAAGGAAATATTATGAAATCAATTGTTTTAAACATAAATATTAGTTATTTCTTAACATATTAGTATTTTGTAGCGTGACCTTTATTGGCAATGACGGCTACACGTCTTAGTTAACCAAGTCCTGACATCGAGTTAAGTTTTCGAGTTAACCAAGTCTTGACATCGCTTTAGCGGAATTTTGCTCCATGTCTCCTTAACTACGTTCCAAAGTGACTACTTCGTGATTTATTTCGTGGTTTGGCAGCAGCAACCACCTCCTTTACGTCAGGCCACAAGTTCTCGATTGGATTAAGATCTGGCGACTGTGCTGGCCACTCCATAACGTTCACTTTATGCTCCTCAAACCAATTCTTCGCCTTCTTGCAAATGTGCTTTGGGTCATTGTCCTGTTGGAATACCCAGGACAACGGCATTTCATAGTCTGCATACGGCAACATTACTTTATCCAATATATCAACATAAAAGTGTTGGTCCATAATAGTAGTAATGTGATAAATGGGCCCTACTCCGTAATAAGAAAAGCATGCCCATATCATTATACTACAACCTCCACGTTTAATAGTTTTGATGGTATATTTTGGATTGTATTCTGCATTCGGCGGTCTTCTGACGTCCGAGAGCCTTTTCCACCATGAAGCATAATCTTACTTTTGTCTGTCCGTAATATATTCCTCCATTTTCCCAGTGGCCAATTTGAGTGTTTTTTAGCAAACACAATACGCTTTACAACATGTCTGGCATTTTGAAGTGGAACTTTTCTGGGGCTACAGGCTTTTAATCCATTAACTTGCAGACAACTCTGAACTGTTAGTACTGTTGCATCAACTTTAAAGTCCTTTTTCAGCTCGGTAGCTGTTTTAAAAGGCTTCTTTTTAGCCTGTTGGACTAAGCGATTGGCCAGCAATGTTGAAATAGAACGTTTTCGACCACGTGTGTCAGGCATTTCTTGATATTTTATGGCATTCCTTATGATTTTTTTGGAAAACTCAACCAATCGACCAACTTCTCTATAAGATTTCCCTGCTGATATCAACTTTTGGATCAGTTCTCGTTTTTCTACACTACAATGCTTTCCGCGTCCCATTTTTATATGTTAATGTCTCGTACTAATACGCACTAACATAAAACGTTTGCTATTTTTACAATTATTTTTACCGCTATCAGAGTATTTTGCAACAAAAGAGTGTGTGATGCTATTTTATTTTTCGGTCAGAATTGGCATTGTTAATTAAAACCGAGCAACACCAAGTAGTTTTTCTCCCAAAATGATTTGTTTTAGAAAGTAAACATGTTAGCTAATATTTTAAACACCAAAGCTTTAAAAAAATTTTAATTTGCATGGTGTTTTCTTAACAAAAAGGAAAATACGCTTAGAGGGGCTATTATATTTTTTGCAACTATATATATATATATATATATATATATATATATATATATATATTATATATATATATATATATATATATATATATATATATATATATATATATATATATATATATATATATATATATACATATACATATATATATACAAGGCCGGCGCGAAGGGGGCGTGTGTGGGGGTGTAACCCCCCCCCCATCAATGATTTGTAGTCGGCAAATTTGACCCTTAGTCGGCAAATTTGACCTTTTTTGACTAGTTAGTCGGCAAATGTCGACCCTTTCGATATAGGGTAGTCAGTAGTTTAAACAGTTACTCGGCAAATGTCGTCATGCAGTCGGCAAATTTTCGAAAACGAGGACCTTTTTTTTTTTTTAAGTCGGCAAAAGTGATTATGGCACCCCACCCCCCCACGTGACACGTGACACCTACTCACCCTGGTCCTGTATATATATATATATATATATATATATATATATATATATATATATATATATATATATATATATATATATATATATATATATGTATATATATATATATATATATATATATATATATATATATATATATATATATTTTTTTTTTTTTTTGTTCTTTTATTACATGTAAAATAAGCATTTCGTTACAATATTTCAAATACAAATATATAATAATAAATTTATATATAAATGTAATGGTCGTTATTAGAAAATAAAAGAACGCGGGGACTCGTAGAAGACCATACGGTCTTGTCGTCGAGTACCGCTAAGAAATGTTCGTGTTAAAATTAAAAAGATAATTACAAGTTTAAAAAATAAAAATAAGTTAACAAAAGTAAGAAACTTAAAATAATCCATAATAAATACAAGATGCGTTTTATCTATTATATATGTAAATTATAGTTGTTAAGGATACACATATACTTTTATAAGTTCATGTTTAAATAAATGGTAAAAATAAAGATCACAAAAAATATCAGAAGTATATTGTTAAATCATCGATTGCAAAAATGAGTTCTTTAAGCTTTTGTTTAAAAGAAAAGTATTTACTTTGATTAATAAAATCCTCAGTAAAATTTTTTAAAACTATTTTGTTCCATAAGAATGGTCCGCGATAATCAATACAAAATTTTAAAAGATTTGTTTGAAAATTGGGCTGCTTAATAAAATTATTATTACGTAAAATGTATTTATTTTTATCTTTTGATGAATACAAATTATGGAAAGAAATCGGGGATGAATTGGTTTTACATTTAAACATAAAACAAAGAATATTAAAAATATTAATCTCGTATATATTAATAACTTTCATTTCAAATAAAATAGGCTTGGCATGAGTATAACGGTCTTTAAAATATATAAGACGTGCTACATGCTTCTGCTGACAATAAAGAGGTTTAAGTTTGTTTTTATTTGCACTACCCCAAGCAATGTTTGCATAGTTTATGTGGCAATGAATAAATGAGTGATATAATTGTACTAAAGTTTGTTTTTTTAAGACATTTCTCGCTTTGTACAATATTCCTATACTTTTTGAAATTTTACTTGATAAGTTTTTAATGTGGTTTTTCCATGTAAGATTTTCATCTAAACAAACTCCTAGAAAATTAGTTACTGTTACTTTTTTAATTTGTATATTGTCAATAACAAGTGGAGGCATGTTAATTGGCAGTTTATGTTTTTTGGTAAGAGGATGGAAAAGAATCCATTTAGTTTTATCAATGTTCAGGGATAGTTTGTTTGTCTTAAACCAGTCAGATATTTTGAATAACTCGATGTTCACGTTATGAAATAAAGTAGGAATGCTTTTGTGAGACATAAATAAATTAGTGTCATCAGCAAACATAATTGTTATTAAATTCGAGGCTTTGTATAGATTATTAATATAAATAAGGAAGAGAAGAGGTCCTAATATGGATCCTTGAGGAACTCCACATGTAATATTTAACAAACTTGATGAAAATGATTTATCAGCATAAACAAATTGTTTACGATTAGTTAAATAACTTTTCAACCATTTTAAAACATTGCCTATTATACCATAATATTCTAATTTTTTAATAAGAATTTGATGATCAATTGTATCAAACGCTTTCGCTAAATCAATAAATATTCCCAATGTAAATTTAGAATTGTTAAATGAGTCTGATATACTTCTTGTAAGCTGAATAATTGCATGCTCTGTTGAATTATTTTTTTTGAATCCATATTGCATGTTATATAATAATTTGTTTGTTAAAAGGTGATTGTATATTCTGTTGTACAAGATTCTTTCTAAAATTTTAGAATATATATATATATATATATATATATATATATATATATACGTTTCATACTAAATCGTGTGTAATATTAAAAAAAATTTCTAATTAAGTCTTTTTTGCTTAAACTGTTTTGTTTTAAATTTTTGTATTTATGTTAGTATTTTCAAAAAATTGACAAGATTGAAAAAACACAAAACTTATTGTTTTATCTAGGTGGAAAATTTGAAACTTCTATTATAGATTCGTCCCTCTCTTGATTATTTCTGATTGCTAAAATTACGTCAATTTTTTAAAAATAATAGACCCGGCTTTTTGGTAAACTGTTGAAGCCAAATATTTTCGCGGATATCTATCAAACAGTGGAGTCTCCGAGAGTTGCTACAAATAGTCGAATATCAGCTTCTGTTACGTTGTTAATCAGGGGTGGTTCTGTTACTGATCTATCTTTCCAGTCAATTTGATCGAAATATTCAATAGCATCAAAGTTCAGCGTCGGAACCCTGAACTGGCGAAGAATAGAAGATTTTTCCAGTCGTGGTTTGAGAATAAGACTGGTTTCATTTGGTTTTATTTCAATACGCTTCCTTTTACGTTCTCGGCGAATTTTGCTGAGATCAATAACACTGGATAAATCGTTTGCTGTTACAATATCCTAATTCTCCAGTACTACGGTAGCTATTGCTGTTGCGGACCGGTCAGAAATATCATATCTGTCGCAAGTACGTGCTAATGTTGGAAGTTTTTGACGCGATGCTGATTTTACATTACTCGAAGGAGTAACTGGTGACCAAATATCATAAAGTTTACTAGCTTCTATTGATGTTTCGTTGCCAGAGCAATCATTGTGAATCTGACCAGCAATGTTGTGGTCAACAGAAAAAGTACCGTCATCAATCTTATCACGATCACCGTCACGTAAGTTCTGAGTATTAACGGTGTGAATATTAAATGTGAGACAACCAGTATTGAGGCTTTTTACCAAACTCGTTCAATGTTTTGTGCAACCTTGTCCGATATATCCGAGACATTCGGCTCTTTTTTAGTTGCTGTTGGTTTCATTTGATGTTTGGTCAGATATCATATCCTTTGGCATACCAAATACACTACAAACCACCATCTTTCTAGTATTCCGCACATTCGCCATTTTGTACTGTGTATAACTGGCGATATTCTGATACTCTTTTGTACACTACAGTCTACAATGCACAAACATTACAGTACAATTCAGGTCAAACTTTTATTCCGCTGACATGTAATTCAAATCCAAAACCAAATACAATATTAGTCACATTGATACAAGCTATAACTCTATTTTATAAAAACTGTTTGTGAATGATGAATGAATTAGTAAAAATATAATAGTATTCAGAATACTATTTTGAATAGTATTCTGAATATATTTCAGAATATACAGAATACTATTTTGAATTATATTCAGAATATACAGAATACTATTCTGACTAGGACTAAAAATTAAATATTACTTCATTAATTTTCTTCCAAATAATAATGTAAATAAAGATTTGATGTTAAACAGAAGATTTAGTTTTGTATCTTTGAGAAACAAATAAGATTAAACAACAAAGCATTTGAACAATTTATTACTAAATTCGAATTTAGAAAAATCGGTTTATTTTTATTGATTTTATGCCTACTTTGATGAATTATGCCTTGACAGTTTTCATTTCAATGTCTTTTGGTCTGTAATTTAGAACCTTCAGGATAAATTCTACCATATCCTACTTTATTATTTGGATGTCTCATGTACATCTTCTCAAACATCGCGCAAAATGGAAACATGCAAACGTATCGACCCCCCCCCCCCCCCTAACTCAAAGCTTACTGAGGACCCTTAAGATCTATCACAATCCCACTGAAACCTTTACACATTACTTGTAATATGTTAGGACAACTTTTCCTCACTATTATATATTTTTACAAAGATAAAAAAAAAAATTCATTGCACCTTAATATCTGCACCAGTTTTATATTTTTTTGTACAACTGTATGCACCATAATTAAAAAATGTAAGTTAAAGGAAAAATCAAACTTGACTTAACTAAAAGTTAAATAAAAGACATAACTACAACATTGACTTAACTAAAAGTTTCCACAAACTGACGTCACTACGCAAAAAAATCTTGGTTAAACTTTTAGATTATCGTTGAATATAATAGTTAAGACCGCGTCAGTAGTTTTTAATGGTCAAAGACTTCTCAGCTCTGCCATTTGTATAGCGTTATGTACAAACGTCTGTAAGTGTAAACGTATTTAGTATATGTTTAGTTTTCAGGCAGTAAATGGAACAATCGTGTATAATATATCTATAAAATGATAAAACTGTAAAATTTTGTTTTAACAGTTAAAAATCTTTTTTGCTATAAATATATAACCAGTGTTGAAAAAATTCCAATATTTACTACGCTAAGAGAAGGTCTTACACCCCCCGAAACTACACTGATGACGGCACACTAATTCACTATACTATCAATGAAAAGCGTTTAGGAAAAAAACAAACCTAATTATAAATCTCTTATAAGCTCTACGTATGTGGAAAAGGTGCGCATGTTAATTTTTTTGCTCTTAAAGCAATTTTTCAGAATGAATCATTTTACTTAAAAATATTGGAGTACATAAGGAATATGTATAGAAATGATCGGTGTGGAATAGATAAGTATAGAAATAGTAGGTTTGATAAAGACCAGTATTTTACGGGTCCGAAAAGTAATATCCAGAAAAAAATATCAGGAAAAAGTATACAAGGCGGGATGGAATAAACTTACAAAGACCCGTATTTTTACGGGTCCGGTCAGCTAGTTTTATATATTATATTTATATTTTTGTTAAACCTTTCCAATTTTTCCTAGAAAATTTGTTTAAATTTTATACTTACATAGTACAAACGTCTTCTTGCAATTTTAAACTAGGTTACGCTTCTATCGAGCAATATCACAAATCACATTATCACAAAGGTTTTACTTGAACCGATTAATATCACAAATTTTTCATAAAGTTTTTTTTTTAATTTAAAGTAAACTTTTAACAATTTCTATTTTTGTTATAAAATACAAACACATGCTTTACATTTTTTTTTATTTGTTAAAAAATTTTATTAAAAAATCTCGCTCGAAAAAAGCAACGTCACGTTGCAAATTTTATCCTACTCTTACCGTATTTAAAAAAATTCTAAAAATGAAACTACGAGTTTATTGAGATAAGCAATTCAACTCATTTCAGATAAAGTTAGATTAGAAAAGAGACAAACTTTTGCTAATCTTTTAAAAGACCCAGAGTTTTGAAAAAAATGTTAAAAGTTTTTTCAACTTGCAAAAATTCATTCAAAACCTTATAGTTTTCGATCCATAAGCAATCAAAATGGAATAAGTTTTCGAAAACGCAACAATTTTAATAAGCCAATTACAAAATGGAGTCGGTAACTGTGACCATGATGGTCAGATTTTTTAATTTAAAATAGTTTTTAGAATTAAAATTTCAATGTAAAATAACAATAAGACTCCAATCCAGATACTAAGAGATAAATTATCCAAAGAAGAAGAAAAGTAGTAAAAGTGATATATCGTGAGATTGAGGGACCACCTAACTCAGCCCTAATGTTTTTACTCGATCTCCTATACATGAGAATTCCAATACATACAGACGCTTCTAAGCAAAACAGCATAACTGAAAATCCTAACGAACCAGGATCAACTTCAAACTTGTTTCCATTTGAAGCATGATAAATTGCTGCTATTGACCATGCTAATCCAATTCCAAGAAATACATTTACTGAATTTGACCCAGTTACATTTCCAATCGATCCATCTGCATGTTCATCATTAATGGTAGCAACTTTGCTAGCAAAAGTGTCTAGAGAAACAAAAATATCAAAAATATTTACTCTTTTCTCACGCCATTTAACTCTTTTCAAAAAAAAAGATAATTATATTAATTAGACCACCATCTTAAGATATCTGACATGAGATAATGAAAACGTTTTTTTATTTATTTATTTGAAAAGCATTACCTGGTAAACTAGTTCCTAACGCCACAAAAGAAATAGCTACCACACTGTCAGCTAAACCAACCGTGCACCCAAAATGTGATGCTATATCTCCAGTTATAGCAGTTAATAATCCAATCATAGTAATTGAAGCTGTAAAACAAGCCCAACCTCCCCAAATATCTGTCGGAGGTACACATGCAAATAAGACCTTCCAGAAAAAAGACAAGTAATGCATAACATAATCTCCATATGTAGGCTCAACATCATCACCTTCTTCTTCATCTCCTCCATATTCGACCTGGAAATATTAAAAAATATATTTAATAATGTTATTTGTGAAACAATTTCTTTTTTTTTATTTCAACATTTTTTTTTATGAAGAGTTTAGAAATTTCTACATTTTTTATAAACAAAGTAACTTCTTTATCTCCTCCATATTCTCCATAAAACTCTTTCTACCATATTTAAAAAAACAAATACATTTATATAAAATTCCATAAAAATCATAAAGCTTTGCAATAAAAATCCTTAAATTTATCAGGTAAAATTCAAAATTACAAAGATAAACTAAATTATATAATAAAATGTATAATAAAAATACTTTAAAAAACTATTTTTTTATAATAATTATTTAACACTAATAATGTTATAATATGTAGTTATTATGGTAACGCTTATGTTAAAAATTATATTGAAAACCCCCAAAATTTAAACTTAGTACCTGTATACTTATAGTATACTTAGCGATTTTTTATTTTAAACTGCAAAATTCAAAAACATTCAAAAACATTTCCAGGATTTACATTAACTCAATAGAATTAACTAACAAAATGAAATTAATGACAACCCAGCTCTGCAATGAGTGTACTTAGTGCGTTTTTTGGGGTGGGGGGGGGGGGGAAGGGGCTAAAATCTTAGCCCATTCCCCCCCACCCCTCTCTACCCTCAACGTGAGGGCAATGAGTTGAATTATTTATTTTTTCATAAATATAAACTAGTTATGTATTTATCGACAGATTTTAAATTTTATGTTTAAATTATTCAGTGTTCAGTTTTTATGACTATGTAAATAGAGGGGAGCTATTCTTTATATTCAAAAATATAAATATATATATATATATATTTATATATATATATATATATATATATATATATATATATATATATATATATATATATATATAAATATATATATATATATATTTATATATATATATATATATATATATATATATATATATATATATATATATAAAAATATATATATATATATTTATATATATATATATATATATATATATATATATATATAAATATATATATATATATATATTTATATATATATATATATATATATATATATATATATAATATATATATATATATATATATATATATATATATATATATATATATATATATAAATATAAATATATATATATATATATATATATATATTTATATTTTTGAATATAAAGAATAGCTCCCCTCTATTTACATAGTCATAAAAACTGAACACTGAATAATTTAAACATAAAATTTAAAATCTGTCGATAAATACATAACTAGTTTATATTTATGAAAAAATAAATAATTCAACTCATTGCCCTCACGTTGAGGGTAGAGAGGGGTGGGGGGGAAGGGGCTAAGATTTTAGGGTTTCTATTTATATATATATGTATATATATAGACCGAAACGTCATTGGTGATCGCAGTGCATTCCTGAGGAGGGGAATCACCATTTACCCACTACTTAATTCTAATTGGTT